AATATAACAAATGAATTGAAAAACAAGTTCGTTAAGTTATTTTCAGATCCTATTTTTTCAAGTGCTGATAATCAAAACAATGAAACTGAAAATAAAGGATCACGTGAAAGGGTTGAATCTCAAAATGGTGACACGGGGGAGAAGGATATAAGTTCTTACAAATCACCATATATGGATAAAGTTGTGAATTTATTTGAGAGAATCGATTTGCAGAATGTTCTTTTGATTCAGGTTCTAATAAGATGTGGACAGGATAAAAACAGAATGTAAGTCACTAACTCTTGCTATTTCAATTAAAAATGTATTATTTTTTTGGATTATTGTTTAACTATAATACATGTGGATATTTATTCTAATGTTGATGAAATATTTTTTGTTCATGTTTAAAATTAAGGGAGGTACATTTTGAAACAAATACGGGAGAGATTATGCATAGACAGAATTTTGAGAGCATGCGGCGTGCACATGTTATACATTATAGTGTGATTGATTGTTTGGCTGCTGTTCTAACTTACGAGGAAACAAAAGTCAAAAAGTAAACCATACCGCCTGTTCTTCAATACCAAAATTATGGTAAATTCTTATTTTTACAATTGGAATTTTATGTTTTAGTTGTAAATTATAACAATATATTCTAATTTTTCTGTTTTTCTATGTTTACAGAGTTCTGAGTTATTAGATGAAACTAAATCTTTTGACGAGCGTTTTTTAACTTTTGAGACTCGTGTTGATAAGTTTCTATCTAATTTCAAGGGAGATGTCGATTTCAATGATCTTAAAATTGTAAGAATATTTTATTAATTAAAATATTACATTATTAAAGGATAGGACTTAGGTTAACTTTTTGATCAATTTGTTGGAATTGCAGGTGGTTTTTCCAATACATATTGGTGATCAGATGTATGCCGTTGTTTTCAACCTAAATATCCACAAGTTAATATTAGACAGCATAAAAATACATAATGGTGATCAGATGTATCTTGTTGTTTTCAACCTAAATATCCACAAGTTCATATTAGACAGCATAAAAACAAAATCGTTAGAAGAAACGTATGGAATGACACCTACATTATTAGTAAGTTTCATTTACTTTTATTAAATATATTAAAGTTACAATATAATAGATTGAATAATGTAATTTTGTTAATATATATTGCAAAAATTGTACTTTATACGATATCTGGAGAAAACTACATTTATTGTCAATAAAATCAGACGTTTGCGATCAACAATAGTGAAGATGATGAAAATTGATGGGAACAAAAAGAAGTTGACAACATAGAATGGAGTACTTTTAATGAGACACAGGGAAAAATGTTGTGGAGAAAAGCAAGGAAAGTGGAATGTCGAAATGCAAAAAGGTAGTGATGTGCACGATATGCAATTTGTAAAATTGCGTGCCTTATATTCTATTAAGATTGCCACACATGAAATCAACAACCACAAGGAGAGAGTTATCAAAGAGGCAATCGAATTTGGAAAACTTGATCACACGACTAGAAAAAAGATGTTACAGGAAGGTATCAATAGTGGAAGAATTGGAACATCTTACTTTAAAAAATAAAATACATTATCTCTATTAGTAGAAATATCAAAATGCATATTTTTCATCTTACTTTAAAAAATAAACTACATTCTCTCTACTAGTAGAAATATCAAAATACATATTTTTTGTACATATATGATATTTTTACAAAAAATTGTAATTTCATTTCATCACTTGATATGGTTATGATTTATTTTTTAAATTAATTATTTTTTTAAAATTAAAAAAATTCAAAAGTATAATTTCCTCATTAAAATACTATAGTGACTAAAATATTTGTTTTAGAATATTTATAATTAAGTAATTTTATTTTAGAATTAAAATAATATCGTAACTTTGTTTTAGAGTATATGTAATTAAGTAATTTTATTTTAGAATTAAAATAATATTTGAACCAAAGTGTAATTTTTTAAATTAAAAGGCACTAAAAATACTAGGACTTATTTGTCAGGGACGAAAAAGTGACAAATGTAATAACTTTGAGATTACGACTTATTCACGAGGGAAGAACATTAAAATAAAAAAAAAACTTTATTTCTTCATTTCTATTCTGAAACCCTCTTCCATTTCTCCTTCATCACTATTTCCAAACATCTTTATCATCTTCGGTTTTAAATCATCAAACACTCCATAAAAATCCTAACTTCTTGTGATTTTGAACTCGTTATCTTCGATTTCTCCTTGGATCGATTTCATTTTTCGATGTTGTGAATCCGATTTTCACTTGAAAACATCGATAAAAACCCTAAAAACCTTGTCATATCGATTTTAAACTTTTTGATTCATATTTTGGTCTTTAATCCCTCGATAAAACCCTAAACTTACTTACTTTGATTCTTATCGAATATTTCTATCAAAGAAAATGGCTACATCAACACGTGCTTCAAAATCTACACCATCAGATCATCTAAATGACATTATTACCAAAACTTCTCAAGAAATTCCAGGTATTTCGATAGTTCTGTTAATTCTCATTATATATCCTTGTGTTCATTTGAAAACAAGGATGTTGCTTTGAGAATTGATCTTCTATTGTTGCTCCAGTCTCCATATCTACATACTAATAATTATTGGGCTACTTGAGCGCATTGGGCTCTTGTGTCTTAGTGGGTCCCATTTTTAGGATCATAAATTGAAATAGTTGAAACGAAATGAAATAAGATGCAAGATACACCATACCTTCAAGAAGCAATCGAAAATGTAGAAAATTACATCAAATTAATCTGCAAAATCAGTAGTAATTAAGCTTTTATTAATCAATCCAGTTTATGAATCTAACCAGCATGTGTAAAGACCTTGTGCAAATGCATGGATTGGTTTTATTTATTATCAATTTATAAAAGTTTTGACTTAATTATGTGATCAGGTACTTAAGTCATGATAATTAAAGTTTGGAAGAAAGTTTCCATATGATCAATTTGGTTGATTTTTCCCTTATGCAAAGTATTGACAATTTTATCAATGTTTCAAAAATGACTGGTTTGAGAGATTTTTATAATCGTTTGACTCGTACCTTGTTGAAAGTTGAAATTATGTGACAATTCCTTGTTGTAAGTATTATGATGAGTTAGAATATAATTTTGAAATAAATGTAAGTGTTTTTCTATTACAGACAACAATTAAAGTGTATTACCCATATACATAGTAGGGTAGACATAGTATAATATGTTGCTATTTACTGTAATTTCCCCTAAATAAAACATTCTTGGTGATCTAAATTATGATAACCAATTCATTTATATGACAAATAAGTAATTTTAACATGATATTCGGGAAAGGGTTCCCAAATCAGATGATGCATTTTTTATTTTTCTAAACAGAACAAATAACATATGAAGGAAAAATGATGATCAATTGAAGAATGAAGAAAATACTTTTGGACTGTTACACTTTAAACTTGTCCCTTACATTTTTAAGCTCAATCTTTAGCTTTATAGTTTATAATTATAATATTATGCAGTTGTTCGTATTAACATTAATTATTTTCAAGCATCAAATATTATAACAAGAATGACAAAAGCTAAAATAAAAATGATGAAAGTGGGTAGAAGCAATGAAGTTGAAACTTCAACAGGCTAACGGTTGGTTCAAAAAAGAAAATCATCAAAGTCTATCGATGAATCAACAGCTACAACATCAAAAGAAAAAGAAAAAAAAGGTACATCATCAGTTATGTTTTCTATAAGAATAAATTATATATTGTGTATTCTATGTATTCTAATAAAATATTAATCTCATTTGTTTCTGTTATTCTATGTATTATAATAAAATATTTTATATTCTATTAATGTTTTTCTATATTCTATTAATCTTATTCTAATAGAATATTTATAAATATTAATCTAATTTGTTTCCTTATTATAATAGAATATTTTTAAATGTTATTCTAGATATTTTCATATGATAAATCATTTATTAATTCCTAATTTGATTCTGAAAATGAAAATAAACAGCAAGAAGGTCGGATATGGGTAAAACTCATGAAAAAACTTCAATAGGCGAACGATTAATTGAAAGAAAAAAATCATTTAAGCTTATTAATGAATCAACGGATACAACAGCAAAAGCCAAAGAAAAAAAAGGTATATCATCAATTATTGTATTTGTACTATAATATCTTGTTTATTAATGTTATTCTAATAATAAGAAAGTCATATATAGGTAAAAATCATATTTGTTATAGAATGTTGGTTTCTAAAAGTTTTTTGCCAATAAAATATTTACAATTTGGTGTTTGACTTTGATTTCTGCCATTAATTTTTGAATGTTGTTGGATTTTCTGAAGTTGTCAATGTTGGTTGTCATTTATGGCAATTTGTTGTTTCACTTTGACTTCTGCCATTAATTATATGGATGTCTCAACATTCATTGGCTTCTGAAACATAGTAGACATATTCATATAGATGTTATTCTAATAGAATATTTTGAAGTGTTAATCTTGTATTCTATTTTTATGATATTATTATATTTTTTCTAATATTATTTATTTTGAAAATCCATTGAACAATAGGGAAATAAAAGGTGCTTTTTGAAGATAAAAAAAATAAAAAAAGGAAGATGAATAGTTGAAATGATAACATAGAGAAAAAGAAACAAAAAACAACAAAAGATATATTAAAAGATCTGCCTTCAATCGATACTCGAATGAATCCCGGAGCTATGGTTGAAGTTATAAGAAGTTTAAGTTTGTCTCAAAAGAAATGTGTAAAGAAGATGGGTTTTGGATGTTGAGCATCAAGAGAATTCCATTGAAGCTTGCACATTTTGTTGTTCAACATTATGATCATCAAAAGAACAGTATTGTGATTGATAAAAAAAAATTAAGATCACAAAAGAAAAGATTCATAAAGTGTTTGGTCTACCAAATGGAGGAAGAAGCTTGTTTGATTTTCATTTTGTTGACAAGGAGAATGAAACGTATGTTACATGGAAAAGCCAGTTTACAAAAGAAACCATGAATGCAACTGGGTTCAAAGAAGTCGTTCTGAAATCCAAAAGAGATGATGATATCTTCAAGCTAAATTTTCTTTCTTTGTTTGTGAATACATTTACTGAATCACATTCTTATGGGACGTGCAACATAGATCATGTTAGAAGAGTAGTTAGAGTTGAAGAAATTTCATGCATTGATTGGTGTGCATACTTAAATTACTGTCTGAAGAATACAAGATCTCTATGGCATCAAGATAAAAAGAAAGGCTATTATAATGGGCCAATGTTGTTATTGATGGTATGCTTTTTGTTTAATTATTTTAATTATTTTTTATTTATGAATATCTAATACAATTTACAAACTAATATCATGCAGCTACTTTACTATGACAGTCTTGAATGTCAGCGTTTAATCATAAAGTCAAAAATTCCAACAATAACAATGGGGTCAACAGAGGATTTGAATAATAGATAGTCTTTTGAAAATGAAGATGGTGGGTTTGGATGTGGAAAAGTTGTTATGACACAAATGACGAGAGATAGCGAGGGACCGACCAATGTGAAAGACAATCTTTATGACACTATTGAGGTAACTTTAACTAAAATATAAAATATAATTTCTTTTTATATTAGGTTAAAGTATGATGTTATAAAAAATTCTAGATATTCTTATATTACATGCTTATGGTTCATAGTAAATATTCTAGCTATTCCGAGATGATAAATTATTACATGATTATAATTCTAGTATTTTATTATTTTTCAGGAATATAAAGAGAATTTCGATAAGATGCTCAAGAAAGTTTCTCTCATCCAGAAAGGAGGACATGTATGGAATTGTTTGTGATTGTATATCAAAGTTCCTAGATGTCAATATAACAAATGAATTGAAAAACAAGTTCGTTAAGTTATTTTCAGATCCTATTTTTTCAAGTGCTGATAATCAAAACAATGAAACTGAAAATAAAGGATCACGTGAAAGGGTTGAATCTCAAAATGGTGACACAGGGGAGAAGGATATAAGTTCTTACAAATCACCATATATGGATAAAGTTGTGAATTTATTTGAGAGAATCGATTTGCAGAATGTTCTTTTGATTCAGGTTCTAATAAGATGTGGACAGGATAAAAACAGAATGTAAGTCACTAACTCTTGCTATTTCAATTAAAAATGTATTATTTTTTTGGATTATTGTTTAACTATAATACATGTGGATATTTATTCTAATGTTGATGAAATATTTTTTGTTCATGTTTAAAATTAAGGGAGGTACATTTTGAAACAAATACGGGAGAGATTATGCATAGACAGAATTTTGAGAGCATGCGGCGTGCACATGTTATACATTATAGTGTGATTGATTGTTTGGCTGCTGTTCTAAATTACGAGGAAACAAAAGTCAAAAAGTAAACCATACCGCCTGTTCTTCAATACCAAAATTATGGTAAATTCTTATTTTTACAATTGGAATTTTATGTTTTAGTTGTAAATTATAACAATATATTCTAATTTTTCTGTTTTTCTATGTTTACAGAGTTCTGAGTTATTAGATGAAACTAAATCTTTTGACGAGCGTTTTTTAACTTTTGAGACTCGTGTTGATAAGTTTCTATCTAATTTCAAGGGAGATGTCGATTTCAATGATCTTAAAATTGTAAGAATATTTTATTAATTAAAATATTACATTATTAAAGGATAGGACTTAGGTTAACTTTTTGATCAATTTGTTGGAATTGCAGGTGGTTTTTCCAATACATATTGGTGATCAGATGTATGCCGTTGTTTTCAACCTAAATATCCACAAGTTAATATTAGACAGCATAAAAATACATAATGGTGATCAGATGTATCTTGTTGTTTTCAACCTAAATATCCACAAGTTCATATTAGACAGCATAAAAACAAAATCGTTAGAAGAAACGTATGGAATGACACCTACATTATTAGTAAGTTTCATTTACTTTTATTAAATGTATTAAAGTTACAATATAATAGATTGAATAATGTAATTTTGTTAATATATATTGCAAAAATTGTACTTTATACGATATCTGGAGAAAACTACATTTATTGTCAATAAAATCAGACGTTTGCGATCAACAATAGTGAAGATGATGAAAATTGATGGGAACAAAAAGAAGTTGACAACATAGAATGGAGTACTTTTAATGAGACACATGGAAAAATGTTGTGGAGAAAAGCAAGGAAAGTGGAATGTCGAAATGCAAAAAGGCAGTGATGTGCACGATATGCAATTTGTAAAATTGCGTGCCTTATATTCTATTAGGATTGCCACACATGAAATCAACAACCACAAGGAGAGAGTTATCAAAGAGGCAATCGAATTTGGAAAACTTGATCACACGACTAGAAAGAAGATGTTACAGGAAGGTATCAATAGTGGAAGAATTGGAACATCTTACTTTAAAAAATAAAATACATTATCTCTATTAGTAGAAATATCAAAATGCATATTTTTCATCTTACTTTAAAAAATAAACTACATTCTCTCTATTAGTAGAAATATCAAAATACATATTTTTTGTACATATATGATATTTTTACAAAAAAATTGTAATTTCATTTCATCACTTGATATGGTTATGATTTATTTTTTAAATTAATTATTTTTTTAAAATTAAAAAAATTCAAAAGTATAATTTCCTCATTAAATACTATAGTGACCAAAATATTTGTTTTAGAATATTTATAATTAAGTAATTTTATTTTAGAATTAAAAATAATATCGTAACTTTGTTTTAGAATATATGTAATTAAGTAATTTTATTTTAGAATTAAAATAATATTTGAACCAAAGTGTAATTTTTTAAATTAAAAGGGACTAAAAATACTAGGACTTATTTGTCAGGGACGAAAAAGTGACAAATGTAATAACTTTGAGATTACGACTTATTCACGAGGGAAGAACATTAAAATAAAAAAAACTTTATTTCTTCATTTCTATTCTGAAACCCTCTTCCATTTCTCCTTCATCACTATTTCCAAACATCTTTATCATCTTCGGTTTTAAATCATCAAACACTCCATAAAAACCCTAACTTCTTGTGATTTTGAACTCGTTATCTTCGATTTCTCCTTGGATCGATTTCATTTTTCGATGTTGTGAATCCGATTTTCACTTGAAAACATCGATAAAAACCCTAAAAACCTTGTCATATCGATTTTAAACTTTTTGATTCATATTTTGGTCTTTAATCCCTCGATAAAACCCTAAACTTACTTACTTTGATTCTTATCGAATATTTCTATCAAAGAAAATGGCTACATCAACACGTGCTTCAAAATCTACACCATCAGATCATCTAAATGACATTATTACCAAAACTTCTCAAGAAATTCCAGGTATTTCGATAGTTCTGTTAATTCTCATTATATATCCTTGTGTTCATTTGAAAACAAGGATGTTGCTTTGAGAATTGATCTTCTATTGTTGCTCCAGTCTCCATATCTACATACTAATAGTTATTGGGCTACTTGAGCGCATTGGGCTCTTGTGTCTTAGTGGGTCCCATTTTTAGGATCATAAATTGAAATAGTTGAAACGAAATGAAATAAGATGCAAGATACACCATACCTTCAACAAGCAATCGAAAATGTAGAAAATTACATCAAATTAATATGCAAAATCAGTAGTAATTAAGCTTTTATTAATCAATCCAGTTTATGAATCTAACCAGCATGGGTTAAGACCTTGTGCAAATGCATGGATTGGTTTTATTTATTATCAATTTATAAAAGTTTTGACTTAATTATGTGATCAGGTACTTAAGTCATGATAATTAAAGTTTGGAAGAAAGTTTCCATATGATCAATTTGGTTGATTTTGCCCTTATGCAAAGTATTGACAATTTTACCAATGTTTCAAAAATGACTGGTTTGAGAGATTTTTATAATCGTTTGACTGGTACCTTGTTGAAAGTTGAAATTAGGTGACAATTCCCTGTTGTAAGTATTATGATGAGTTAGAATATAATTTTGAAAAAAATGTAAGTGTTTTTCTATTACAGACAACAATTAAAGTGTATTACCCATATACATAGTAGGGTAGACATAGTATAATATGTTGCTATTTACTGTAATTTCCCCTAAATAAAACATTCTTGGTGATCTAAATTATGATAACCAATTCATTTATATGACAAATAAGTAATTTTAACATGATATTCGGGAAAGGGTTCCCAAATCAGATGATGCATTTTTTATTTTTCTAAACAGAACAAATAACATATGAAGGAAAAATGATGATCAATTGAAGAATGAAGAAAATACTTTTGGACTGTTACACTTTAAACTTGTCCCTTACATTTTTAAGCTCAATCTTTAGCTTTATAGTTTATAATTATAATATTATGCAGTTGTTCGTATTAACATTAATTATTTTCAAGCAGCAAATATTATAACAAGAATGACAAAAGCAAAAATAAAAATGATGAAAGTGGGTAGAAGTAATGAAGTTGAAACTTCAACAGGCTAACGGTTGGTTCAAAAAAGAAACTCATCAATGTCTATCGATGAATCAACAGCTACAACATCAAAAGAAAAAGAAAAAAAAGGTACATCATCAGTTATGTTTTCTATAAGAATAAATTATATATTGTGTATTCTATGTATTCTAATAAAATATTAATCTCATTTGTTTCTGTTATTCTACGTATTATAATAAAATATTTTATATTCTATTAATGTTTTTCTATATTCTATTAATCTTATTCTAATAGAATATTTATAAATATTAATCTAAATTGTTTCCTTATTATAATAGAATATTTTTAAATGTTATTCTAGATATTTTCATATGATAAATCATTTATTAATTCCTAATTTGATTCTGAAAATGAAAATAAACAGCAAGAAGGTCGGATATGGTTAAAACTCATGAAAAAACTTCAATAGGCGAACGATTAATTGAAAGAAAAAAATCATTTAAGCTTATTAATGAATCAACGGATACAACAACAAAAGCCAAAGAAAAAAAAGGTGTATCATCAATTATTGTATTTGTACTATAATATCTTGTTTATTAATGTTATTCTAATAATAAGAAAGTCATATATAGGTAAAAATCATATTTGTTATAGAATGTTGGTTTCTAAAAGTTTTTTGCCAATAAAATATTTACAATTTGGTGTTTGACTTTGATTTCTGCCATTAATTTTTGAATGTTGCTGGATTTTCTGAAGTTGTCAATGTTGGTTGTCATTTATGGCAATTTGTTGTTTCACTTTGACTTCTGCCATTAATTATATGGATGTCTCAACATTCATTGGCTTCTGAAACATAGTAGACATATTCATATAGATGTTATTCTAATAGAATATTTTGAAGTGTTAATCTTGTATTCTATTTTTATGATATTATTATATTTTTTCTAATATTATTTATTTTGAAAATCCATTGAACAATAGGGAAATAAAAGGTGCTTTTTGAAGATAAAAAAAATAAAAAAAGGAAGATGAATAGTTGAAATGATAACATAGAGAAAAAGAAACAAAAAACAACAAAAGATATATTAAAAGATCTGCCTTCAATCGATACTCGAATGAATCCCGGAGCTATGGTTGAAGTTATAAGAAGTTTAAGTTTGTCTCAAAAGAAATGTGTAAAGAAGATGGGTTTTGGATGTTAAGCATCAAGAGAATTCCATTGAAGCTTGCACATTTTGTTGTTCAACATTATGATCATCAAAAGAACAGTATTGTGATTGATAAAAAAAAATTAAGATCACAAAAGAAAAGATTCATAAAGTGTTTGGTCTACCAAATGGAGGAAGAAGCTTGTTTGATTTTCATTTTGTTGACAAGGAGAATGAAACGTATGTTACATGGAAAAGCCAGTTTACAAAAGAAACCATGAATGCAACTGGGTTCAAAGAAGTCGTTCTGAAATCCAAAAGAGATGATGATATCTTCAAGCTAAATTTTCTTTCTTTGTTTGTGAATACATTTACTGAATCACATTCTTATGGGACGTGCAACATAGATCATGTTAGAAGAGTAGTTAGAGTTAAAGAAATTTCATGCATTGATTGGTGTGCGTACTTAAATTACTGTCTGAAGAATACAAGATCTCTATGGCATCAAGATAAAAAGAAAGGCTATTATAATGGGCCAATGTTGTTATTGATGGTATGCTTTTTGTTTAATTATTTTAATTATTTTTTATTTATGAATATCTAATACAATTTACAAACTAATATCATGCAGCTACTTTACTGTGACAGTCTTGAATGTCAGCGTTTAATTATAAAGTCAAAAATTCCAACAATAACAATGGGGTCAACAGAGGATTTGAATAACAGATAGTCTTTTGAAATTGAAGATGGTGGGTTTGGATGTGGAAAAGTTGTTATGACACAAATGACGAGAGATAGCGAGGGACCGACCAATGTGAAAGACAATCTTTATGACACTATTGAGGTAACTTTAACTAAAATATAAAATATAATTTCTTTTTATATTAGGTTAAAGTATGATGTTATAAAAAATTCTAGATATTCTTATATTACATGCTTATGGTTCATAGTAAATATTCTAGCTATTCCGAGATGATAAATTATTACATGATTATAATTCTAGTATTTTATTATTTTTCAGGAATATAAAGAGAATTTCGATAAGATGCTCAAGAAAGTTTCTCTCATCCGAAAGGAGGACATGTATGGAATTGTTTGTGATTGTATATCAAAGTTCCTAGATGTCAATATAACAAATGAATTGAAAAACAAGTTCATTAAGTTATTTTCAGATCCTATTTTTTCAAGTGCTGATAATCATAACAATGAAACTGAAAATAAAGGATCACGTGAAAGGGTTGAATCTCAAAATGGTGACACGGGGGAGAAGGATATAAGTTCTTACAAATCACCATATATGGATAAAGTTGTGAATTTATTTGAGAGAATCGATTTGCAGAATGTTCTTTTGATTCAGGTTCTAATAAGATGTGGACAGGATAAAAACAGAATGTAAGTCACTAACTCTTGCTATTTCAATTAAAAATGTATTATTTTTTTGGATTATTGTTTAACTATAATACATGTGGATATTTATTCTAATGTTGATGAAATAGTTTTTGTTCATGTTTAAAATTAAGGGAGATACATTTTGAAACAAATACGGGAGAGATTATGCATAGACAGAATTTTGAGAGCATGCGGCGTGCACATGTTATACATTATAGTGTGATTGATTGTTTGGCTGCTGTTCTAAATTACGAGGAAACAAAAGTCAAAAAGTAAACCATACCGCCTGTTCTTCAATACCAAAATTATGGTAAATTCTTATTTTTACAATTGGAATTTTATGTTTTAGTTGTAAATTATAACAATATATTCTAATTTTTCTGTTTTTCTATGTTCACAGAGTTCTGAGTTATTAGATGAAACTAAATCTTTTGACGAGCGTTTTTTAACTTTTGAGACTCGTGTTGATAAGTTTCTATCTAATTTCAAGGGAGATGTCGATTTCAATGATCTTAAAATTGTAAGAATATTTTATTAATTAAAATATTACATTATTAAAGGATAGGACTTAGGTTAACTTTTTGATCAATTTGTTGGAATTGCAGGTGGTTTTTCCAATACATAATGGTGATCAGATGTATGCCGTTGTTTTCAACCTAAATATCCACAAGTTAATATTAGACAGCATAAAAATACATAATGGTGATAAGATGTATCTTGTTGTTTTCAACCTAAATATCTACAAGTTCATATTAGACAGCATAAAAACAAAATCGTTAGAAGAAACGTATGGAATGACACCTACATTATTAGTAAGTTTCATTTACTTTTATTAAATGTATTAAAGTTACAATATAATAGATTGAATAATGTAATTTTGTTAATATATATTGCAAAAATTGTACTTTATACGATATCTGGAGAAAACTACATTTATTGTCAATAAAATCAGACGTTTGCGATCAACAATAGTGAAGATGATGAAAATTGACTAGAACAAAAAGAAGTTGACAACATAGAATGGAGTACTTTTAATGAGACACATGGAAAAATGTTGTGGAGAAAAGCAAGGAAAGTGGAATGTCGAAATGCAAAAAGGCAGTGATGTGCAAGATATGCAATTTGTAAAATTGCGTGCCTTATATTCTATTAAGATTGCCACACATGAAATCAACAACCACAAGGAGAGAGTTATCAAAGAGGCAATCGAATTTGGAAAACTTGATCATACGACTAGAAAAAAGATGTTACAGGAAGGTATCAATAGTGGAAGAATTGGAAATGGGTAATAAATAGAATTTGATAGAAGTTTGGATTTTTATAAATGTGGTTATGGTGACTTAACAACAATTCCTTTTGTAATATCTATCTTATTTTGAACAAATTAGACAGGAAAAATGATGCCTAGTATTATGTAAGAAACTTGATATGGTTTATTAGGTGATTAATGCTTAATGTATAGTTGGTATTAAGATCACTTCTTAATGGTCATGGTAGAATCTTCTATAGTAAACATAAATTTTTTAGAATATTCTAATAGAATAATGTTAAAGGCATCATTATTCTATTAGAATAATATTAGATGTTGCATATACCTATATAATATTCTTACATGTATAATCTTGTATTATAATAATTTGATAACAAAACATTATACTGCAATTATCATACAAAAGACTATTCGTATATACTTCAATGCAAAAATTAAAGATTGAAATATTAAAAGAATCAATATATTTTCAAATGTATCACACATCATCACAAACCAAATGTATCATACATCATCACAAACCAAAACATCTGAAAAAGTCCAAACTAAAGAAATTCAAACTTTTTTCTATATGGTATTATTAAACTATATTCAAATACGAAAAAAATCGAAATATATTTCTAGACACAACTATGCACTCTGTACCTTGGAGTTATTCAGCAATGTCAAACATTTCCTTGAATTATGCCCTTTAACCCACATGTTTTGCATGATCTTGATTGCTTGTTACCTTGAATAGTAGCCTTCTCCAAAGCACTTTTTAAACGTTTTCCTGTACCAGAACCTTTATTCTTCACCATAGGTGGATTTTCAACATCAACAACTTCAGGATTCGTAGTAGCTCCGTAAATTTTATCAGTATGAGCTTGTTTTGTAACAGATGATTTGTCTGAACATTGTTCACCAATATCAGTCATAAAAACTTCTAGTTTTTGCTTGAACTCTTCTAACTTCTTGTCATCATTACTTAATGAAGACAAGCATTGATCAAGCATGGAAAAAGCTTTGTATGCAACCTTCTCAACATTTCCAGATGAATCACCATATCTAAATGTCCTTTTCAAAACTGTGGTGGGGATAATATCTCTTCTCAATCTCTTAAGAATGTATCTTGACGGAATCTCTTGTATGTCATAAATCTTTAGAATACAGAAGATGTGTCTACAAAAAATTTCAAATCGCTCAAAAATCATGCATGAACATTTCACCGTTACATCTTCTCTATTGAATTCAACCTGTTTCAAAAGTATTAGGATATTAAGTATATTCGAAAAAGAAAAATTAGAATAGTTTTCAAAAGTATTAGAATATTAAGTATATTCTAAAAAGAAAAATTAGAATAATATAAAAAAAATTTAAAGACAATAATTTAGTAATAAAAATTATAATATTAGAATTATAAAATGTCAACATTACCTCGAAATCACCTTCACTTGTGTTAAAATTCCATTCACAATCGATGTCAACTTTTTTTTTTTCAACTACTATCTTCTGTTGGGTTTTGTATACTACAACATCCTATGGTGCACATACAACCCTAAAAGCTTTGGATCTATGTTTTCTCTAATTATACATGTAATAATGTTTCCAAAGTTTTAAGCCTACAACTAACATACAATTGATATAAACAACATAGAATTGAGTTATAGAGTTACCTCTTTGTTGTAGCTTGTAGTTTTTAGCCTTTAAGAACTTAGTTCCCCAAGTGTGACACCTCAAATGGTTCACAACACACCTTAAACAAAAGATGACTTTTGAGAGAATATTCTTACACCAAAATCAGCTCAATGATGTCCAAGAACACTAGTGTGTGATTTTGGATGCTAAGGAGCTTCTTATATAGTGTGGCAAGATTAGGGTTACATCCATGCAAACCCTAATGCCCATGACCTTTCATATTACTTAGGATCCATGGGTTAAACCTCCATGGACTATCCATGGACTACCATATTGGTTTAGCCCATCCTAAATAACAATTGGCCCACACTATAAGAATCATTGATTTACCAAATCGATCCCCATATATTTAATTAGTCTCTTTTGATCACTAAATTAATTCCAAACTAATTCTTGATCAATACTAATCAAATCAAATGATTTCATATTAATATATTAGAACTTATAATATATTAATAAATCATAAATAACCTCTTTTCAAAAGTCCATCCTATCAAATTGTCCTCGTGATATGCAACCCAAATGGACCATGCTACTCTCGGATCAAGTACATACCAATTATAGTTATGGGCTTAGACACCTAATCCAACAGTCTCCCACTTGGATAAGTCTAATAACTATTATTGCAAGTACGATTCCAATATCGCAACTAGCAATCGTAGCTCTTAATAGCCGTTGTCAAACTCTGACTTAGTCAATGACGCGTCCATTAGATAAGGGATCATATATTGCTCCATTCTAGATATCATATGGACATGAGACATGGATTATAGTCATTCTTTCTGTCCATCTGTTGTTTCCCGATTTCCGATTTATGACGACTGACTAATTGAACAAATCAAATCAGTCCAGACTTGGCCAAGCGCTTCGGGTGTCATCACAAAATCATCGAGGGGCCCACAGATATCACTTTTATCCCTCTAACGGTAAAAGAAATGGATAAACTTCGACTCAAATGCTCGCTTGTACTTACTCATCAAATCACACACAACGATATGTTTTATAACACCAAGTTACTGGTGCGTTTACATATATCAATGTGCAACCGACTTATAAGTTACAACTCACATGTCTTGGTTTCAAGAATATAAGATATTATCGTCTCATGATCACTCGTGATAAAATCCATGAAGTGATACAAATGAGTGTGGGTTCAATCCAATACTCAAATCTTATTACAGGAGTACTCATGAATACTGAAGCAAACTTGTGCTATGTCTAACACCTTAGACAATCCTACAGACCCATTCATGACAATCTTGCCTCAATACCTACTTCCAAAGTATGATCGAATGTGGATGGTTTGAATAACCTAGTTATTCGGGAAGTCAAAACATGCAAAGTGAAACATAAGAATAATACTAATCCTATATGGCCCCAAAACTTTTGAGTGTAAATAAAACACCTTTTATCTAATTGCCATATTGATTACTCATTATTCATTGTATAATGTTTCAAATAATCAACTTAATACTTGAATTAAAACAATAGTTATCCCATGATCCAAGCATGCACACTATGTTTGCCTATGGTCCTTTCTATGTGAAATAGATCAATTGAAAATTTTCCAATGATGCTCATTTCACAAACCCAAATCCTTATTGCAAGTGTAAGAATTCCAAATTCTTGTCACTCCTAGAAAGTGTTAGATTCTAAATATCATGCAATGATTCTTTTGTAATGTTTAGGTACCAAAAGTCACAGAGACTTAACCAACGATATTACAAAATATTCTTTTGGAGATTGTTACAAGACAATTCCATGGAAAGGAAGTCTCACATTCAAAGTACATTCCTTTGAACATCCTTCTTGCACAGATTTAAAGAATACCTTCCACTTATTGAAACATTTCCATATTCCCATTTTGATTATCACTTCTGAACAAGAGTCACCTCTTTTCAGAATATGTCAATATGGTCCTTCCAAAATTTTCAAAAAATACTTCCAACTTTCCACGAGCAACCAATCTTTGGTAAACCTCAGATTATCCTTGACAATTGCTTTACCACTTTAGTCATATATTCTTCTAGTCCCTTTTTCCCTTTTAATGCCCTAGGCATTTGGAAAAATTAGAACACGAGAATACTATAGCATATGCAATCGATCCTATACCCGAAACATATGGGATGAAATTCATAATGTCTGACATAAAGACATGATACTTGACCAGTCTTTTGCTATAATATTTCTATTTGTCATGTTCTCACAATTCGAATTATGAAGAGGGATGCCGTAATCATAATCGATTTTGAGAACGCAATTAACATTTCCATATAGAATTTCCTTATTTTGAATCTTTTCAACATAACATTCATATATGTCCTTGACTAAATTTGATTAAAACTCAATCTAAGCATTTAGAATTGAAATGAAGTATAAATTCCTCTCCCTTAACTATAGCAAAACAAATTTTCAAACCATGCAACTTTGCAAATTGAAACCTTTGTTTTCTCTAATTAACATTGCTAACTTACGACTGTTAGATGCATTTCATGCATCCATTTTGTAGTTTTACTCCATGAAATTGCATTGCATATAGGCTTAAACTCATGCATTTTGCATGTTTTTCGGGATTTTTCATGAGGCAATTACATTCACAAATTTTTGTGATATTTCAGGGACTTTTGGAGGTTGGATCTTACTTGAGGAGATAAATAAGAGATGTAGATGAAGTTTCGGGACTTGCAGAGCACCGAGGAGGAAGATATCAAAGAAATGAAGATTTTGGCTTTTCAGAGGTTTACACGGCCGTGTAAATGTTTACACGGGCCGTGTAAACGAAGTCTCTTGAGCATTGTACTTTGAAAGCCTGGCCAATTTTTTGTAGTGTCCTTTTGCATTTACACCGCCGTGTAAATGTTTACACGGGCCGTGTAAACGTGGTCACGGGTTTAAAACAATTTTTCTTCTTTCTAAAAAGGGGCAACCAGTTCCAGAAGAAAGGAAGTCGACTTTTGGAGCAGAGAAGACGATTTTCTGGAGGATTTTGGAGTTAATTAACACTTAGGAGCATTTGATTTCATTTTGTAATAACTTTAATTTCATTTTCTAGATTTGTGATCCTGTTCTAGTTATGAGTGGCTAGAACCCTAAATTCTCCAACTTTATGTCTTGACTTCTAGTTGTGATTTCAATCATACGACTTGATGTTTGCTTTCAATTTTCTATCTAATGAATTGGATTTTGTTTCAATTGAATATTTGATTCTAATTTTCTATCCATACAAGTGGTACCAATGGAACTGGAAGTGGTGCCAACCCGTCTAACTACGGAAATATCCACGAACTCCTTGGGGAATGTACATATAAAGACTTCATGAATTGCAAACCCAAATCCTTTAGT